ATATCTTTATAAGATATTTGATCCAAATTACCTAATCTTCCATTGTTAGAAGTAGAAGATCATCTCCAGCTTTCTTGATGTAAGAGGTAGACAGTATATTTTCTATAGTATTTAAAATAAATGAGTTAAGGTTTTCTGTTGTCAGCTATAAGCCTCCTTTTAATTAGTATAAAAGATAATTCTTTCTTTGTAACCTAGATAAAGAATGGTAGAACTACTTTTGAAGGCCAAAGAATTATGAGACCTTTTTAAAAAATCTATGACACTAGATATCTAATTGGAGGACTACTATATTTTCCAAGATTATCATTGATTAATTGAAGAATACTGAAACTACAGAACTGAATATGTTATGTGTAATATATTGTGTGTAATAGTTAACAGGTACAAAATTCATTCTGACTTTGGTAAGACTTGCACAAGTAAGGAAATAGTTTTCTGAGATTTTTAACATATCTATAGAGAAGAGTTCTGAAAAGGGCTATACAGGCTATTGGCAGATGGAATTTAGGGGCTCATAACTTTGAATCAGGAAGTTCTTTCTAATATCTAACCCAGTATTTAAGCCTATTCTTATTAATATTCAGTCATCCCAGGAATAGAGAACAATTAATGATTGTAGTCCGTAAGTGTGGGGTGGTTACAGTATAGGGATCACAAACTCAGATGAAATCTGCCTGAACTAAGGTATAATATACATGTTTGGTCATGGCATAGTAAATAGCTGCCTTTAGCTGGATATTCTCATCTTACAGGAGGAAATGATACTAAACAAGATAGCATGGAAAGTGAAAGTATTGGACCTTGGTAGGGATGTTTTGACTTTGTCTCATGCAGGAGCTTAGCTTCTCTTGCTTGGAACAGAGTACCCAATACCTGCAGTTAGAAGGAGCAGGAGAGCTTTAATTTGGCTCACAAATTCAGGGGCTTTTAGTCCATGATTGGCAAGCTCCAACACAGAAACATTATCATGGAAGGTTGTAGTGGAGCGGAGCTGCTTACTTCATGACAGTGGAGAAACTGCGCAGGGGAAGAGTACCAGCAAATATCAGCTGTGGTAAATAGAGTGCTTATGTGCATCCACAGCACCTAAGTAGTTACAGGAAATCTGAGGGCTTTTCAAAGGCACACTTTCTCCAACTGGGCCCAGCCTCCTCATGGTATATGCCAAAACCCCATGATCTGATCCATACTCCAAGACTTAATTCAGGCGGGTTGACAGGATTAACTAGTACAGAGATTTTGAGTGACAAGTCAAATAACATTTGTTGAATATTAGTCTGGCAATATGTTGTGGGATGACTTACGAGGAAAATATTGGACATAAATGTGAATCTCTTATAATTGTCTGATTATGACGTAATAAGAGTCTGACTTTTGTGGTAAGTAGGAGTTAACAGAGTTGGGTAAATTTTAAAGGAAGAGTATTAGTTGGGCATGGTGGCGTATAACTAGGATCCCAGCATTCTGGGATGCTGAGGCAGGAAGATTGCAAGTTGGAGCCCAACCTGGGTATTTTAGTAGATTAGGAATGCTATATCTTAAAATAAAAAGCCCTGGGGAATGGAGCTTAATATGAAGGACTTGTCCAATTGCCAGTACTGCTGTGAACAAATACAAATAAAGGAAGGAAGTATATTGGTGTTCATATAAGAAACTTGAGCAAGCCAAGAAAGCTTTGAGGTTGTAAGTATGGCTGAATTGTAGCATAGTATTGATAGTAATACTAAGGATTGGTAAGTCAGGTTGAAGGTAGATTGAAAATAAAGATGATGACTTTGGGGGCTGGGTATTTAGCTCAGCGGCAAAGCGCCTGCCTGGCAAGCACAAGGTCGTGAGTTCGGTTCCCGGTACCGGAGAAAAACCAAAAAAAAAAAAAAAAGATGGTGACTTTGATATAAGATATTTTGAATATGGGGTAACAGCCAAGTTGTTTATTGTACAATTGCAGATAGGGACAGAAAATGAAAATGAGATTATCTTGAGAATGTACTGATTTGATTATCTGAACAGTGTTTGATTATTAAAAGAAAATTGAACAGCAGAATGTTCAAAGTACAACGTATATGTTCTGTCAGTATCCCATTTTTGTTTTTCTAGAATTCACTATTATTAGCTTAGTGTATATTATTTGACTCTGTATATATATATATAAACACGAGCATGTATGTTGTTCATATTCTATGTTATTCTGTGAGGGCAGATCCAGTGTACCCTTTGTAATTCATATTAATAGCTGTACTTAATTCAAGGACATTTAGATTATTTCTGATTTTTCATTTTTTATTAAAAATGTAAAGAATATTATGTACTTATATTTGCACACTTATTGAGCTGTTTTTGTAGAATAAATTTTACCATTGCCAAAGGGATTAAGTAGATGTGTCATTTTGATTCAAGTAACTTTTTTTTTTGGTACCGGGAATTGAACTCAGGACGTTGCGCTTGCTAGGCAGGCGCTTGTGCTGCTGAGCTATATCCCCAGCCATCAAGCAACTTTCTAGAAAAAATTGTATTGAGGTTTGTGAGCATGTGTGCAGTTTTTTTTGTCTTTTTGAGACAGAGTCTCAATATGAAGTTCAGGCTGGCCTTGCGCTCACTTTGTAGCCAGGCTGGTCTCCAACTCACAATGATCCTCCTACCTCAGCCTCCCAAATGCTGGGATTACAGACGTGTGCCACTATGCCCAGCCTATGTATGCAAATTAACAATGTTAATTTTGTTTTTTAGAAGAAAATAGTATATCATACATTTGTGTGATACCCACTAGTAATGTGCAATAGGGTATTCTAGCTTTTATTAGTCACCAAAATTAGCATATAAGAAGTAGTTAAAATTGTAATCACTGTCTTTGAACAGGAGAGATTCTCCTAGCATGGGAAAAATGTCCTATCATTTGGAGTCTGGTGAATTCCTTGTTTGCAGACAGCTGTCTTATAGCCTGTTTTTGCATGATGAAGAAAGCAAGCTCTATAGTTTCTTTCTTTTCGTATGAGGATACAAATCCTTTCACAGGGACTCCACCCTCAAGATCTCATCTAACCTAATTATCTACTAAGTCCTTAACTCCTAATACCATCATGTAGGGAATTATGTCTTTAACATTTGTATAGGGGGGAGCTAAACATTTTTCATAGGGGCTAGAATTGGAGATGGAGTTGGTGATTGATTGAGAAAAGGATATCCTGAAGTTGGTAAAGTCCTGGAAAGTACTTCTGTGGATTTCAGTACCAAAAAAGGGAAGAATAATTTTAAAATTTTATTCTCCAAAAATACTTGTTTTAATGAATTTTATTTCCAAAGGAACTTAATTCTCATTTTTTTTTTTTTGGTTTTTTTCTCCGGTACCGGGAACCGAACTCACGACCTTGTGCTTGCCAGGCAGGCGCTTTTGCCACTGAGCTAAATCCCCAGCCCCTTAATTCTCATTTTGAAATAGAAGTCAGTGGGAAATTTTGATATATACAGTGCTTAACTGGAATAAAAAAATTCATTTTAGCTCTGAAATCTTTTACTGTTTGTGGGATTAAAGCAGTTTTTAATTGTCCTAATATACTAAAGGCTTTCAGCTAGTTAAAATTAAAACCCTGTAATACTTTTTGTTGGTATTAATGAAAAATGTGAAGTAGGTTTTATAGACATTAATTTGAGTCAAAGAGCAGAATCAAAAGCATGTGCCAGGTTTATGATCCAGTTCCTAGTTCTGTTTTTTTTTTTTTTTGGTATGGGGATTGAACCCAGGGCCTTTGTGCTGAGTTACATTCCAGTCCTTTTTTATTTTGAGTCTTGCTAAATTGCACAGGTGAGGCTTGAACTTTTGATCTTCCTGCCTTAGTCTCCCAGAGTGCTGGGATTGTAGATATGTGGCACCACACCTGGCTACAAATGTGTCAATTTTTTAAAAAAGGAACTTTTAAACAGGGTAAGTTTGCATACAGTATTTACAAATGTTGAATCCTAGTACTTGTTTAAGTAAGAATAAGGGGTAGAGTGTTCTTAAAGAATGTTTCTTTTTTTATTGAAGAGTAGTTTTGTTATTGGAATCTCTTGGCAACTTGAAAATGTTATCTCGTAGCTCCTTCTAAAAGTAGCTTGCAAATTAAATGTTACTAGGTTCTTGGTAGCTTGCCTCTCCTTCTGGAGTTAGATTCCAGGTTCTTCTCATCTTGGATAAAGAATTGAATGAAACAAGCAAAGAGCAGTGGCCAAGTTTATTCAAGAAAGTAAAAGTGAAGAGTGGGGGAGAAACTGACTCTGCAGAACAAGCTTGGGCAGAGCAGAAAAGACAAAAGCAAGATAAAAGAACACCCTGGAGGAAGCAGGGTCCGGTTTCCTGAACAAAGCCATGATAGCAAGTTCTTCTTGAGGCCTGTGTCCTTTCATACTGTCCAAATCTCGAGGAAACTTGTGAGAACTTCTGCGTATGTGTCCTGAGAGGCAGTGCTGGGATCCTATACTTCAGGCTCACATCAGGTCTAGACCATACTTTTGAAAATTTGCAAGTTCTTGCAAGAAGTCTACCTGCAGGGCTTTGGGAACTGTTGAGTGTCTGGGATCTTGTAGTTAATAGGTCATGCCTACTTCCCCAGCCAGTTTTGCCACACCCTAATTTCCTATGTCAGTCTTACAGGAGACCAAAACAATCTCAGTTTTTTTAGCTTTTTCTTTTTTCTTTTTTTTTGTATTTTTTTTGCAAGAGGATCTTACTGTGTAGTCCAGGCTGGCCTTGAACTTCAGCAGTCCTCCTGCCTCAAGCCTCCCAAGTGCTGGGATTACAAGTATGTGCCACCACACCAGGTGACAATCTCAGTTTTAAAAGTTTTTTTATGTAATATATAGACATTACATTAATTTATCAGAGGTGATATATTTCAATCAAGGCTGAATAATTTAATGGATGATTTGCATAGGCCAAAGATCTTTTGTTGTAAGAAAAAGTAAATCATGATACCCCATGACTAAGGGAGAATATTATCAAAAAAAAGGACAGAACTACTTTAAAATTTTAGATCTTATTTATAATAACACTTTTAATCATTTTTTACTTCTAGCTGCAGATGTTTAGTTGCCATCTGCCTTAGTTACTTGCAATATGCTGGACACCCAAAGTTAGGGGAAGAAAGGTTTATTTCACCTCACAATTTGTACAGTTTTCAGTCCGTAGTGGGATAGCTCTAAGGCCGTTTGGTATGGCCAACGGGCATCGTAGAGGAGAAATAGTCCATGGCAAAGCAAGCAGGAGACAGAGAAACAGTAAGCAGGAGCAGCAAGCCTGTCTTCCCTTCCCATACTCAGGCTGGGGCTTCTATTATTCACACTCTTAATCCCAGTATCACACCTCTAATCCACATTCACATACCCTAACCTAGCTACCTTTGAAATCCCACCCCTTGATTGCATGAGGCTTTGGGGGCACTTCTAGGTACAAGCTGTAACACCATCATAATGGTCAGGGCTTGTGGGCATAGGTGAAGTGATTGTTTCCTATTCTTAGCACTATACATTACATATAGGATGTGATCGATACTTACATTGTTTTTCAGCCTTTTGCCTAAGATCAAGTGTGATCACTACTTGCATGTTGATTGGTTTCTCATCTGTATTAGCAGGCTGAATGCAGTTTTCTTTATGTCAAATAGAATCTTTTTTGTAGCATTAATCACAGACATAGTACTAGCTGAAGGTCATCTTTGTGAAGACTGATTCTCCCTAGCCACTTACTAAACTCAAAATGACTTTTCCATAATTTAAGAGTGTACATTTTATACCAGGATACTCTCTTGAAGATTACTTCAGTAGCTGACTCTAGTTTGTGTATCCAGGAGTACTTAACTGAAAAGTCCATACTTCTGGTGTAGTTAGGTTAATGCTTGTAGTTGGAACCTTGTAGTTATATTAATGCTGTCATTGTAACCTTCTGTAAGCATGGTCACAGAATCTGTGGGGAAGAAAATATTAAAGATATGATTCAAATTTATTTTTGCATTTTGTTTTATGAACATTTTGAAAATCTGAAAACTGGGCTTTGTTATAAATTGATAGAGCATAATAAGTGATAAAAATATAGAGCAATGGAAGCTTAAAATTCATGGGCACTAATTAAGTGTATTTCCCTGTGCAGGTTAAAGTTGGCCTCCTGAGCTTCTGCCTTAGCAAGAAAGAAGTGGGAAATACTCCTGAAAACTAAAACATTAAGAAACCACAACTTATTTTTACATGATTTTCAGCTCACTTACCAATATGGACAGTTTTCCTAACATTTTTCCACCTGGTGGAGATGGTGGTCTAAATTCTGAATCTGAGTTCCAAAAAATGTTAATTGATGAACGGTTAAGATGTGAACATCATAAAACCAATTATCAGACTCTAAAAACTGACCACACAAGGTAAGATACTTAAATTAGAGGTGAGGCATAGGACTTGGGTTGTTAAGTAAAGTTACTAGCTCTGTCTAGGCTAAGTGTTTCCTCTAGAGCATAGAGTATAACTGTTACTATTTAGTATATTAATACTTTTGATACAGTAAAATTGTTGCTTTAAAATTTCTTTGTTTCAAAGCTGTGATACCAAGTGATTAAATACATCCAGGTGGCTAAATATGTTTTTCCCCAAAAAGTAAAACTGCTTTCAGAAACTACAGTATGAAACTGTAAAGAAAAGATATTTGCAAGTTTAATGGAATGTTTGATAGTAATCTTGTTTTTCTTCAGTGTTGGTTGACTTTACATAAAGTAATGCAATTAGAAAGCAAAGGATACACTTCAAATTGAATTCTCTTTAAAAAATCAGATTGCAGGATGAGTACATAAAGTCACAGAATGAACTGAAACGCCTGTTAAGTGAAAAACAAACTAACCAGGAAAAGTTCCAGTTGCTGCTTGAGGAGCTAAGAGGAGAATTAGTAGCGAAAACTAAAGACTTAGAAGAAATGAAACGGCAGGTGAGACAATATATTCAAGCTTGTATAAAAATAGTGGAAATAAGTAGTCTTGGTGAATATGTTAAATTCTCTGTATTTAATGATTATTTTGCTATAGTACCAGTTGATATGATTTAAACTTCTTTTACATATTCTGGAATGTTAGCTATCATATATGGTGGCCATGAAACTATTATTTTTATGTAAACTGATATTATATTACCTGTTCTGACTTAAATATTTCACCACTCAGAGTAATTAGGGGCAAGGCCAGTTATTAAGCTTCAGAATTAAAAACAAAATTCAGAATTAAATAATTTTTTAAAGAGAAAGATGTAATACTTTTTTTTGTCTTTTGAGAAAGGGTTTCACAATGTAGTTTATGCTGGCCTTGAACTCACTGTGTAGCCCAAGCTAGCATTGAACTCCAGGTGATCCTCCTGCCTCAGCCTCTCTAGTACTGGGATTATAGGCATGTACCCCCATGACCCACTAATTTTTGTATATGTATTGCAACTTAAACTATGCTAAAAAGATAGATATTTTTAAACTGTTTCTTAAAGGAGACAGTAGAAACAGTGTGCAAATAAGACTTATGTACACACTGTAAGGTACATGGGTTTCTAAAGCAAAAAATAGTTGAGATGAAAGTGCTAACCTACTGTTTCTTTGATTACTATCACACTTTCATTTTCTTGGATAGTAAATCCAGGTTTACCTTCAACTCTAGTCAAACTGATGATAACTTTCAAACTAGTCAGTAACTTTCAAATGGATGATATTTTCCTATGTCCATCTACACTGTAAATAGCGCTATCTAGAATATGTTGGGTGCTAAGTTTGTAGAGTAAGTGGTATTTTCCAGTTTACTTAGTGTGGCATAATTTATAGATTTCCTTTGATAGCAGCCTTAGACGTTTGTCATTCAGTAGCTTAAAAGTCTTCCATTGTTGGGAGCTCCACTAAGCCTGTGTTGGAACCTCTACTATACTGTTCATTCCCAGGTTACTTGGGACATTTAAATAAGAAAAAAAAAAAAAAAAAAAAAAAAAAAATCCCAGGAATTTGAGTTGAAGAGGGAAATATAAATTTAATCTTGTAGAATCAGTGGATTAAATATTTTAAAGACTGAGAGTCCTATATGAATGGAAGCCATGATTACAGAACTTTAGGTATTTGAGATATTTTTAGGCATTGCATATAATTAAATAATTCATTCTTGAGAGTAATATCTAAACCATGTTTATTTGTACCAAGCATATATAGGAATAAGCTTCAGAAGGCTGAAGTGACCATATTAACATCAGACATAATAAACAATTCATCAGATATCAAAAGGACATTTTCTAATGAAAAAGGGTCAATTCATGAAGAGGATAATGACCTTCAACACATCACTATGTCACTATGCCTTTTTTTATTTGGTAAAGAGGATAAAAGTTTCTACATGTGCTGTGAGAATTAATGAGCTACTATGTACATTTTACTGTAGAGCTTGATACATAGTACATACTTGTAAATGATGACAGTTCTGTTCAACCTGAATTTAGGTTCCATCAGGGCAGGAAGTTGTTTTCACTATTTTTCCACTGTTTAGGACAATGTTTAGCAGGTACATATTTGTTGAAAGAATGATATGAATAAGTAGAATAAGCAGTAAGTTTATTATTCTGTTCATATATCATGTTGAACTTTCTGTGTCATATATGCCTAAAGCCTCAGTATCTTAGAGTTGCTAATCATCTAGTTTATTTTTGTATCTGTTATGGAGATGTGTTCAAATCCTAATCAGTAATACCCCATAGTGCGACCTTATTTAGAAATAGGTTTTTACACATTTAAGAAGTTGTTGAGGTCATGCTGGAATGTGATATGCTTTAAGCCGGTATGACTGGTGTTAAGAAGAGATGAGAAGAGATGGAGAGAAAAACTTGGGGCTCAGCAATGCTCTGTGATGACAGAGGCAGCTGTGTGTCAGCATAGCACCAGCAAAGAGGAAGGGGCAAGGAAGGAGTCTTTGTAGGTTCCACAGGGAGCCTAGCCTTGCTGATACCATAATTTCAGGCTTCTCACTTCCAGAACTGTGAGACAATAAATTTTCAGCTGTTTTCAGACACTCAATTTCTGGTTTATTCCTAGAGCAGGCCTAGAATAGAGCAGGCCTAGAAAACTAATACACTATCCAAATCAAATTTTTTTTTCTAGAACATTTTGGATACAAGATCTTTTTTTCTCTGCTGCAGTGATACAGAACCTAGTGAATCTTTGTTTGGTGTTTGTTTTTGAAACAGTATTTCACTATATTGCCCATATTGGCCTCAAGCTTTCTGATCCTCTTGCATCAGCCTCCTGAGTACTAGGATTATAGATGTGCGCTGTTGCACCTGGCATGTACAGAACATTTTAAGAGTTGCTGTTTCTGTTGATGGATTGGGGTATAGTAAGTACTTTACCGCCCCTATTAAAAGGGATTATCGTCCTTCCTGTTCCTATGTTGTTCCTTGGAGCCACACAAAAGAACTTGGGCTGTTTCTCCATGATACATTCCCAAATGCTTGCTGATAAGTGTAATTTACCCAGTTAAGTCTTCATTCTCAAGATAAATTTATCTTATTTCTTTGTGCTATTTATCTGGCAAAAAGAAGCTAAACAAACATCATGTATACATCTATAAAGATAAAGCAATTTAGCTATTTGCTTTAATGGATGTTTGCAATTTATATAAATCATAAGTTAAGAAAGGCTCAGTAAATTCAGATATAAGGTTAGCAAGAAGTATTCCAGTGAAGGTTTATGAAAGGTGATTATTTTTGGAATACACATGTATTTTGTCTAACTGAAAAAAATGTCTATCCCTTTGGCTTCTATAGAAAAGAGATATAAAATACATTGATTTATAGAATATTTCTCCTTCAATAGTGAGTGAGAATACTAGTGCCTAGCTCATAGGATATTTTTAAAGATGGATTTTGAGCTTGTTATGACTTGTATGTAGATGTCCCGCCAAAACCTCATGCAGTTATAGGTGGAGCTTTTTCAGAGGTAGCTTGATCTAGAGTATCTGATGCAGGGATTAGGGCTGTGTGATTACTAAATCTGTCCACTGATTGGTTTGGCACCCACCCTAAGCCCCATAGCCTAGATAGAGACAAAAGGGGCAGGAGGAAGCTGCTAAGGTCACTTGGACTTGCTGCTTGCAATTTTGCCTTGTCTTTGCTATGAACTCTTTCTCCTCTGTGATGACCCTCTGGCATGCCCCCCTGTCTTGGAGCAGTCCGTCTATGAACTGAAACCTCAACAAACTGAGCTAAATAAACCTTTCCTTCCTTAACTTTAGGTGTGAGGTATTTTGTCTCAGCAGTGAGAAAGAGTAACTAAGGTAGAATTTGGTACTAGAGAAATGGGGTCATTGCTGTGACCATGTGTTTCAGAAGCCTTTGGAACTGGCTTGTTGGAAGAGTTTGGAAAGGTTCAGAGATGCAGGCTGAAAACGCAGCCCTGGAGAGTGTTAGGCTGTACTTGATGGGAGATTCTGGTCAGAGTTCAGAAGACCAGAATGTTGATAGAAATGATGCTGATAAAGACCAGCCGACAGAGGTTTCTGTTGGGAAGAATGACTGGATTGGCTATTGGATCCAGACAATGTGTGCTATGGCTTGGCAGAAATCGCATTTTGCTCATGCCCAGAGATTTTGCCTGAGACTGAGATTAAGGACAGCAGACTAATTAACCCTGCAGAAGAAATTTCAAGGTAGTCTAATGTTGAGTCTGTGGTATAGCTACTGTTGGGGGGTTTTTAGCCAGATTTATGTTGAGAGTCAATGCCAAAGACCCCAGCAGAATGACTTAAAACATTTTGAGTTTAGCCAGAAAGGAAGCTCCAGTGAAGTTGTGACCTCTAAAGATGGAACAGAGGACAAATTGGTCACAGGAAAGACTATCAAGAGAAAGCCAAATATCGTAAGAATACAACAGAAAAGATGGCCTGAAGACATCAGAAGAACCAGCAAGACAGCCTTTGCAGCCTCAGAATTGCAGAAGTGAAAGACTTTGCTTTGAGAAGAGTGCCCCAGAGCACTATGTTCTAGATTGGCAGTGGCCTAGAGAATTTGTTTCTCAGAATTTGGTTCAGAGTGTTTAGCAGTCCAGGCACTCAATTCTATAGCCAAGAGAGAAGGAAGCCTGGCTATTGCTCCAGCTGGTAGCAGACCTTGGCATCATCCATGTGGTGCTGGTTTTAGGTGCATGCAGAATGCAAGGGTTGTCTGATCAGGAAGTTTTCCATGCAGATTTCAGAAGAATTATGCTCTTGAGAGCAGTGTGTGAAGCAGTGACTGTGAAGCAGAAGGTGCAGTGGAGACCCCAGAAGTTTGGAAAAGCCCGGAGTATGGATCATCTGAGGAAATCTACAAAGAGTGAGCAAAGCTGGCCAAAAAGAGAAGCCATAGGAGTTAACAACCACCATGGCAGTGCCATCAGGGTGGAGCCACCCAAGCCCTTTTTGGAGTTCACATCTTAACAAAATTTCCTCTAATGCTGTACTTGGAACTACAGGAATGAATGTTTGCCCTGCTCAGTTTTGAACTTAATTTGGTCCTGTTTCTCTTTACCCTCCACTTTGTAACTTTTAGAATGGAAATGTCTATCTTGTTCCATTGAATGTTGGAAATGTTTAACTCTCTTTTCATTTGTACAGGGGCTTGCAGCTAAAAGTTTGCCTTAAAGCTCTGAGGAGACTTTGGACTGGGACTTTGCAGCAAGGCTGACACTATTAGGACTTTGGCAACTCTTGGAGATGGAATAAATGCCTTTTGTATAAAGGGATGTGTATGAGTCTTTGGGGGCCTTGGGGTGGGGTGTTGTGGCTTGTGTCCTGAATTTCCTGTAAAACCTCATGAAATCATAGGTGGTGTTCTTTAGCGGTGGCTGGGTCTAGAGTTATTGATGCTGAGATTAAGGGTGTGTGATTACTGATTGTTTTGGTATCTAGTCCAGTCCACTGATTGGTTTGGTAGCCACAC